ACGCATTCGCAGCTCGTTCAAATCTATATGCTTATTACTTTGTGAACACGCATTCAGAGGTTTCTGCATATTCAGCTAAGTTTACCTTCATTGCAGCTTTACATTTACTTTACTTTGCAATAATCTAGTTTTGATTCGTTTCATAGACTATTATAACTACCTTTTAGCTACTTTTTTTTACTATGGGTTTCATTCTTCGTTTTTTGTGAGCTTCTTTGTTTCAACCCTTAAAATCGTGTCCTATACTGAACGCTCATAACTGTTTCATACTCTGTACACTATTATAAATACCATTACTTTATTGGACATTTTACGTGTAGTTTTATTAAATAAAGTTAAGTCCAAGTGAGTTTGTATGTCTGGCCACGTAAAATGTATTCAAATAGACCAGGATTTATCGACCTAACACATAATGCCTGCAAATAAAAAAGCGTAGCAAAAAACAATGAAAAACGCTATCGCCATTTTATGCACGAGCTACTCCCACTTCTGAATTCCCACTTGGAGCACTGGTTATAACAAGTAAAAATATAAAAGTATATTATATAGTGCAGTATATAGACCCTACCAGTAGTGAACGGTATAAAAATAAATCGACAATTTGAGGATTAATATTTTATTCCCATTCTTGCAAAGTTTGAGGTGATAAGAGATGTTTACATTTTGCATATGGTAATCAAACATAAGTACCAGTATGAATCATAATTATAGAAACTATGAAGTGATATTTAGAAGACTACGAGGAGCTAATTTGTATTACACTACATATTTTAGTTGTTAGTCCTTGGATTTAATGAAAGAATTATCCTTTATAAACTTGGGTCCTCTACATAAAATAACCTTTAGTGTATTTGTGTGTGTTTTGTTATAGCAAAGCCACATCGAGCCATCTGCTTGTCCACCGAGGGAGATCGAATCCCTGATTGTAACATGCACATCTGAAGACTTACGTTGTCCCACCGGGGAACATAGCCTTAAGTATGGAATAATTATAGAAAGATTTGATTTTTACATACTTTTCAACAGAGAACATCATAGTTATCTCAAAGTGACTTGTGGTAATATTTTTATAAGTTGTAAGCTTCACATTTCTACTTTAATATCTACATGTTTAATCATTCTTCTCCACAACACGTGCCTAAAGAGTGGCACTGAAGATTAGGAGCCGATTGCTTCAATACTGCTTGAATATGGTTTATTACAAAGTTTGACTTTTGGATTCCTTTTTATATCTATATATCTATCTAATGAATGTTCTGTGACACGTGGAGAACGTGTCACAGAAACCAGTATCACATCAAGTTTTTTCATTTTTTGGTACACTATCTTCTTTTTTTTTCCAATATACCAAATCTAAGATGAAGCACAAGTAGTCTGTGAATTACACTGTTATTCAAAATAGCACAGTAGGTTTACCAGTTAAGCTGACATTCACTGCACCAATAAGCCTTCTTAAATTTATGGAAGCATAAACCTAACACTAGCAAAGATTTCGGCATGTTTTGATTTTTTAGTGTATTATTAAATGTGGAATTAATCCAGTAGCATCATAACCCCCAGGCTTCCTCCTGTAGTATGTGAGTGTACTACGTGCCTTCTGCTTCTTGTTAAATTTTCAAAATTTCTATATATACTGATGTTTGTAATTTAGCTAAGAACACCAGTCAAGGAAGTAGTTAAGTTCCTTTCGTTCTAGTTGCCTATTATTATTATTGGTCATTCACCTAGGGCATCACATATGACCTCCAGTGGGAAAGATCTCTGTAAAGCTGCATATACTATGTGAAAGTAGACAGAGACTTCTTAGATTACCAGGTCAGATCACACCTCAATGGTATAAACAGCCTATTCTTTGAAGGGAATGATCGATATTTACTTGGGTATATCATGAGTCCTAAGGAGAATAGCGTTATTGTTTGAGTAAATAATACTATATTTTGATTGTTTTTCGTGAATTGAATAGATTGTTTCATTTTGTTACATATTGTCTAGTCTCTTTCATTTTCTAAACTCAGTTAAAGTCAGAAAATCCAGATTTGCTCCATCTATGGGATCAGGCAACAAAGAAATTTAATGTGGAGTTAGCCTGGAAGTCCAATGTTAGTGATTTTTATACTCCACCTTCCATTCTCAACTTTTAGGTGGATCACCACACACACACTATTATTGTGCTTATTAAGCATTATCAAACAATGCAACAATATTTGAGAATAACAGTTTCTTGATGGTAAACGAAAATAGTATAGTTATTTAGGACGTTGTACAAAGTTGAAAGTTCGACGACCTTTTCCACCCTCCACGTCTTTAGGTGTAAAAACAATTGAATTAGTCTGATGATTTTCACACAGGTAGTACATTTTTAGGCAAATACAAAATCAGTCACTTTCTGTGTTTGAACGTGTACACTCTGCCCATTTCACTAGTACCCATGTATCGGTATCATCATCAGTACTAAAATTAACAATATGCTAATGTTTGCCCCTGCTAAGACTCTTATTAACATAAAACAGTCTAGTTATATGTAACAGAAGCTGTCTTTGCTACTGGAAATAAGTACAATAGTAGCAGTGTAGGGAATAAGCATTGTTTATACTTTCTTGGTGACGAAAGATAGTAGGTTTAAGTCCTAGGAGTGCCAGAGTTTTGTACTTAAGTAAGTTGTTTTACACTATGCACGCAAAATACTTCAACACACTAGAAAGGAGAAGAAGGCGACGTCATAACGGACGGTAATGAAGCAATTTTTACACGAGAAGGATAGGTTTAAATGTATCTCCTACTCACAACAACTTGTTAGTGGTTAGGCACAAAGCTACACAATGAACGATATGTACTGTACTCATTGCAAGAATTGAACCCTAAGTTTAGGCGTTATAAGCCTTCAAGCTTAACGATGGTCCGACCACGGGGGGGGGGGGGTATATTCACAACAAAGCATAAAATAACAGTAAAAGACGCAGAAAGTAGTATATACTACAATAAAAATAACCACAGATTTGTGCTTTATTACATTATGGATTAGGCCTAGGACTGTCCATCTTCACATTCTGACCTGCTTGTTGGATAATTCACTAAGGTGGTCTCAGCAAGTTATCTGAAGACAGAGAAATCTGTTAGTGGGATAACTTAATGATGTTGCATTCTGTGGAGTTCTAGGGGAATTTAGAATTGAATATAATCTTAAGCAAAGCTCAATGGTGCTGGATTAAGGGAAAAGAGGGAAGTGTTGACGCTTCATGGGGAATACAGGAAAAGGGTAGGCAGCTAATCAATACCGCCCACCTCCAACTCTTGAGCTACTCTTGACAGAGGAAGTAGTGGAATTCGATCGTTACTCTTATAAAGCACCCGCCGCCCTAAAGTGTAGAACGCGATTTTTTATTTTTTATTTTTGCGGTAATGGGTCATGAGCCACGGAACCTCAGCTCCACAGTCCGATATGCTACATACAGGGCCGCGCTCAGCCCTAATCTTATGAGACAAACTAACTGCATGACAGTATTAGGTGGAAAACCAGATGCGCTCAGCAAAAAGTTTCTCTTTAACGCGCACGTGAAAGGGAATGAACGTAGAAGAAGAGTTTACACAATTTTTTCTTAAACTCAGAGAAATGTTAAGAAACAAGTATGAAATCAAAATATAAAGTTAAACTTTTCAAAAAAGGAAGTAAATGTAGGGATGGCTAATAACAATCCTTCAAAAAGAATGTAAACAAGATAGTAGGAATGGCATTTATATCATCCCTATATAATAGCACAGGTAAGAATTAACATATAGCAATATATATATATAACTATTCAATAACAATGGAGTTTAATTTATTCTATTCAGTCTGTTAACATTCTACTACACTGTTTGCCTATGCCATTATGTAGGTATGATGCAGATGCTATCCATACTATCTTGTTTGTATCGGTTTTGAAGGATTAATATTAGACATCCCTATATTTTTTCCTTTTTGAAAAGTTTTTTCTTTACTTGTTTTTTTGTTGTTGTCTCTTGTTTTGTTTATGCAGTGTTTCAATAGACATAGGAAGGTTGTATTTATTAATATTTTGTATACCAGTTTTCGACTCTAAAATGTTTAGGTTTTATAATTTTGTAATCTAGTATAATATTTATTTTTTGTCTTTTTATATGTCCTGTCAAAGTGTAAATTATTATTTGAATATTTTTTTCATTCTTTTGTGGCTCCCTCTTCTAGTAGTTCCATTTTTTTTTATTACGTTCCTTTCATATATACAAACACGCAAGTATAATAACATTTTAAATTTTATAATGTCAAGCAGGGATCGATATATACGTAACCTAGCTAGCTATGGTAATATAGAAAATTTTTATGCTACAAAAAGTATTGAAACAAGAAAGCCAAAACTACAAAGCCGGAGTTACTTAAAATGTAAAAACAAATCATGACGAAACAAATTCTATTTGTTGTCAATACTGAAATTTGATGACGAGGAACCCACTTTTTAGAAAATAAAGTTTGGAAAAGGCTTGAATGGGTATACAGAAGTTTTTAATTCTAAATTCAGTTTTATTTTTTGCATCTCTCAAACTGCTATTCAATGGTATCACGTGACCTCCCCCCCTCAACTTTATAGTATAGTTCAGTAGATTGACCAACTGAAACAATGATATATAGACACACTTCGCACATCGCCCGAAGCTGGCAAGATTCTACTAAAGAAAGTGTATTATTTAATTCAAACATTCACCACCAGCTGGCATCAGTGTTCCTTCGTTATTGAAATGATATATAATTGTTTTTCAATATTTTGTGAATGCCCAACAAATTTAAGTTTCGTTAGACGACTGCTTATAAGCAAATATTTTTAAACCACATCTAAGGGCATTTAAAAGAAATAGGACCGACATGTGTTTGTGCTATTCAAAAACCCTTAGGCCTAAGCCTATCGTTGTGTTCCAGACCATAAAAAAAACAGGGTTGCAAAATCAAATTACATAGACACTAATACATATTACATTGCTATACTTACTATTGATTCTAATAACGTATGAGAGAAAGCAAAGAAGAATATGTTTCGGTACGTCAACCACACTACATCTGTCATATCCAGTGCCGACGAGGCCTTTTGTTCAATAACAAAGTTCATCAGGCCGGTTAGGTTATTGTTATTAGATTCAGAATCCGCACGTTGAAACACGCCGTTATTATTATATAAGTATGGCTATCAAGATACGCCCTCTATAGACCGGTGCTATGTATGTTTCGAGACGCTATAAACCAGTTTTAAAATTTACGGGCAGACAAAGCAGTGGGAGAAGTATGATACAGTCGACGAAGGAGCATGAATCATAACTGGACGAAATTCAAAGGATGGTTAATAATTAGGAAACAGGCCCTACAGCAGTAACCCCGACACCCAGCTCGCGGGCAAGCTGTGACGCAGCCGCTTAAAACAGTAAATTACTACTGAATACGCAAATCAATCATACTTCGCGTTAAACCAACAGCTATGACATTAGTCGCTCAAATTGCTTTGCGCACGCATTACAGCAATTCCTTGCAGTCACGTCATGTAGGCCAGTAAGTTAACGATGATTTAAATAAAATTGATTATAACTACAATTAGTTTACTTTATCTAAAATCACACCATAACAGACGTTGTTCATGCAAAATTAATGACATATATGAAGCATCTATGTCTGTCGTATCTCAGCACGTAGGCCAGTGAGTTAACGATGATTTAAATAAAATTGATTATAACTACAACTCGTTTACTTAATCTAGTTCACACCATAACAGACGTTGTTCATGTAAAATTAATGACATATATGTTGCATCTATGTCTGTCGTATCTCAGCAAGCCTGCTGAGCCCTGGTATTGTGCGAAAGGCCTCGCCGGCACTGGATATGGCAGATGTAGTGTGGTTCACATAATATAACATATTTTCCGTTGCTTTCACTCATGAATTCTTAAGAGTGTGTCTTGCGTCGCACAAACGGTAGGGGATCCCAGTAAAGTTTAAAATACGGTGAATATAGTAATTATTTTCAAACTAAAAACCGGCCATATGTAAAACGCCAGAGCCAGTTGTTTTAATGAAACTGTAATTGTAAGATACTACACGCATTAAGGAAGATTGTTTATTGATAATTTCACTTTAATGGGGAGCTACGAAGTCATAGTGGAATAATACGTGTCCAAGAAGAAAAAAAATCAATAATTAAGTATCCAAACTATCGAACGTTATGTAATAATAATAATTCTCAATAACAATCCCTGAAAATATATCGTGTATTAAACAAAGAAAAGAATAGATAACAAATTTTGACACAAACGAAAATAACGCCTCCGTGGCGCAATCGGCTAGCGCGTTCGGCTGTTAACCGAAAGGTTGGTGGTTCGAGCCCACCCGGGGGCGGCTTAACTTTTTTTTTCTGTTCTTTTCTCGATTAATTATATGCATAAAACAAGCAACTTGCAATTAATTAACGAAAATTAACAACCTTAGCTTATAAATACTATCATAAAGCAGAAACGAGAAACATTAATTGCCACCCTACACACTATGACAAGCTTCCCAGAAAAACATAATATTCACTTACAATAAGTATCTATCCTAGACGTTATACCATAATAACTTATAGTGTAACATACAAGAGATCACTGTTGGTAAGTTGTATCTTATCCATTCATGTTGTTTTTTCTTTCTACCTGGGCACATGACAGGTAAATTATTCGGCGGCTGTCTTGTGAAAGTGGGTTTTCTCGTGGTACTCCCGTTTCCTCCGCACACATCCAATTCCAAGGCATTTGGATCAGTTGATCCCAGACAACCTGTGACCCTGAATACGGGCCATTTATTTCATAGAACTTTGTTGAATATGTATCGTCTTACTTCTATCCACTGATGACCAAACTCCGGCAGCGTCTTAGTTCTGCCTCCTACATCTTTTGGCCTCTCTGCAATTTCTCTCGCGCGCCCGACCACAACTTAACAACCTAAATTAAGCATCCTTGCAAAATTAAATAGATCAATAATCGCGAGCCGCTTTCCCTTAAAAATTAAATCTCTGTCACAACTAAAATAAAAATAATATCTTGGTCATTTATGACGTCGGTTACCGAATTTTAGGCAGCTCTTTTCCATACTGTTTCTCCAATATCATATTCTACGTTTTATTTTTACTTGTAAGTCTTAGCCTTTTATTCGCCTGTTCCCATTTCTGATAACTTTATAACTATTTTATTGCTTTAAAAAAATTTATTTGCAGAAAAAATATATAAAAATGTTATTGCGAAAGAACGTTGTTCAATTCCAATTAGATCGTTCGAACCAGCAAAAGATATATTCTTTTTATTACAACTTTATGTCTTAAAAAAAAGTTGCCAGAAAAGAAAAGAAAAATTCTGAAAATTTATATACAAAAAAATAACTTGTTAAAATATGTCTGGAGGCCAATCAAGAACCACTGGCAAGAGCGACAGAAAAAGGCAAAAACGTACAAATCTGATGAGTGTGGAGAAAAACTGAAAAATGTGACGCTACCACCTGAGCAACACCAGCAAATGTACTTTGAAGTTGTTCTTTAATGAATAACATAAATGTATTCTGTAAACTTGCGTGTAATTTAGAGGTTTTTGTGTTTACAGCTGTTATTTATTTGATACTTATCGATTTTGTTTGCCGCTATATTCACAGAAAAAAACACTTTTCATCAAAAACGCTTTTTGATGAATTTATTTTTGGTCAGTAGCTTCGCAAAGCTTTGAAGATTTTAAACACGAGCTTCTGTGGCTACACGAAATCTATAGTGCCAGTATCTTTTATTTTCTCTAACATTTTTCTTGTCAAAGAATAAATAAGTGCGCATGTTGTTATGTAACAGCAGCGTTAAATGAATGTTAACCTCCTCCATAAGGTATTTTTTAACATTTGTGTCAAGTTTCAACTGAAAGTTACTCTTTCAACATAGTTTCTGGGATCAGCCTGCTATATGCATACACGCTATTAACTTAAAATTCTTTAAAAGTGAGTCATTTAATTTTGACAAATTAAATGGATTTCCGTACTCATCTTTAGTCGACAACACTTCATGACTAACATGATTAATTTGATGATATGTACTGTGACTAAAACATTAGTCAGTTCACCAATTATATGAAGTCACTTACTAAAACACTGCCACATGAAAATTAGTCATCAATTATTGAGTACGTTAGTCAGTGACATATACCTTTTATAACGGTGATTCAATTATTTTAGGCAACAGGGCAGAATCGTATTAAACTGAAATAATAAAAATTCAAGTAACACTTCTTAATGTATAAACTTTATATTACACCAAATAATGGTGGAAAATGTCTTACTGGTTGTTTGCTTTTTGTTTCATTGTTGAATTTCGTGCGCTAGCCATCCCTAATTTAGAAGTAATAGACTAGATGAAAGGCAGCTAGCCTCACCGCCAACTCTTGAGCTACTTTTTACCAACGACAAGTGAGATTGACCATCACATTATAAAACCTCTGCGGCTGAAAGGGCGATCATGTTCAGTGACAGGATTCGAACCCACGAGTCGCATGTTTTGAGTCGAGCAATCTGCCATGCCAGGCGTCTGCACTCAAGAAACTCAAAAAGTGATCTGGATATACTCCTTTGAAATTAACCAATCACAGAAGTTATGTGCAGCAGCGCCTATCAAGTTGTTGAGGGAAAATCAAGATAGCCAATTATAACAAAATTAATGCCAGAGGCATCATTTTACAAAATAAAACAACCATCCTTAACAAGGTTTTGTCGAACCAGTGAACTGATGCATTGTATGTCATTTTGAAATGTTTTAGTGTATGTCAAGCCGGTCAGTGGAGCAAGATTTTTAAAAAATGTTTATATTTGGGCGAACCTTACTCTAATGAACATGTATTCTCTTGCTGCTACAATACGTTTAGACTTATTATCAGTGGCCTTTCGGAAGTTAAGTAGTAAACAAACAGAAGTTTAAAAAAGACAATGACTGTCATGTTTCCAGAAAAGCAGCAGCTTGAAGTTGATTTTTAGAAGATTAATATGAATATTTTACCAAAAAAAAGCAATAATAAAACAAAAAATTATAATATATATATATGTGTGTGTGTGTGTGTGTTTTTGCTTTCAGATGGATTTAGTTGCTGTAAATGGCAAAACTATAAATATTTACTAGCGTGGTTTAAATTTTTGGCTGCACGAAAATCCCTACAGTTAACCTTACAGAGTTAATTGTGTGCCTAAAATACAATTAACCTTACAGATAACTGTGTGCATAAACTACAGTTAACCTTACAAACGTATTTGCATAAGCTACAGTTAACCTTACAGACGTAAATGTGTGCATAAATTAAGTAAGACCTAATTATAATCCTTGATTAACTATGATAGATTTCAAAATACTTAATACGATGTAGAATGCGGCCTAGGTGATAAACGCAGACAACATAAAAAGCATTCTGGGATATTGAGCGCGTGCAGAATATCGTCGTAACTCTTATTATTTTTTTTTTTATGTATTCTACTTACAAGAATAGTCTATATAGAACTATTAACATGTCCCCCAGGAGCCAAGGGGTGTCTTTACACTACAATTTGTTGAATATTAAAAGCAGGTTCACTACGGAAACTCCCAAAGAGGGTGGTTTTGGACGTATGTTTTCGATTCAAGTTTTCGTTTGTTAATTGATAAAATTTTAAGTGAAATACAGCATCCTCAAGTATCCATACTAGCTAGTACTATGATCTACTCGCTGGGAATAAATTCAGTATATATAAATAAAACCACATCCTCAGCATCATTAATTAAGCAATTTCCAACCTTTTGTAATTCTGCTATCACCTTTTTTATGCTTAGCTTTCAATTGAGATACGAACGATTTCACCTGCGATTCGATAGAGAAGGTCTAAGCATCACGGTAGTTAGCAGTATGATGAGCAGACAGGAACATTTTAAAAGCAGCTACAGGCATAATATTGTACTCGTCTTGCTGCACATTCTACCAAGGTGGTTCTAAACGGTTCCTGAATATCTCTACATGCTTCTTGTGCTTGGCCGTTAAGCTCGTGACGCGCTGACGGATTTCAGTCACCTTACCACTTCAAATCACTTTACGCAAACCCCAACGTTAAAAGAGTGCGGGAAATGCCTTCTTTTTAGCCAATAAAAATGTCCAAAAAATTTCAGTTCAAATTAAGAAAAACTGGATTGGGTATTTTTTATAACAGAAAATGTCTCCCACTGACTCGTGGGGAGTCTGTTAAAATGTAAAATAAATCATTTTATACATTGAGAAAATCCAATGCGACGTCGATGGTTGCGCAAGGGGAAATAAAGATGGGGGGGGGGGGGGGGTCCCAGATGAATGTTA